AGAATGCATCATCTCCGCTCTCTCCCCAACATTCGACCCGTTCCAGTTCGCCTGCCAATGGAACTACTACACTGAAGACACCTTCTCCTTTTCTCTTCGCCTGAGCCTAGCACGCCTGGAGAAGAACACCTACAGTACGTGTGATCAGTGTTGTGAAAGTTCTCTTTCTACGTGAACTAGTTCAAAGTTCAGTTCACACGTTTTAAAATGAACTAGTTCAGTTCATAGTTCATAATTCAAAATTTTGAACTAAGTTCACAGTTCCAAAAAATGAACTAGTTTATAGTTCTTTTTTTTTTCATATATTGCTCAATTACACCATAGCCTACTGTAGAACCACAGACAGCAATTATTTTATCAGTTGTAACACTGAAACTGTGCATCAGATTTCATCTTCATATCCAGTTTTGAATCCTTATCCAACCAGGGTTTACATTAGCATTGAGGGGACAGCATCTCCTCATTGTTGCTTTAATGCTTTGTTGCTGTCCATTCACTTCTCACTAGTAGCGGCTGCAGCTTTCACCCCTACAATAATACATCAGAAAAAATGTGCCGCTTGAATGGTCTTTTTTATGAGGAATAATTAAAAAGAAAAACAAGAGAGTAGTCTTTAAGGTGCAAATGTTTTTTTTTATTTTAATAATTTTTTCAATTTCAAATTCCATTTCAGTACATACTAAAAAGGAATACTGGAATCCTGGGAAATTATACCAGGCAGGTTTAACAAAGAAGTTACATGAATAGTAAAACCCTCAAGAACATTTTACTAACACAAACTGAGGGACCAGGCTGAGGTAGGAATTTAAGGTTACTGAAGTCCGGATTCCTTTACTGAAAGCCGGCGGGCAACGTTTGCAGAGAAATGTAAGATTGTTGCCATCCTCTTCACCGACCACCTGGTCATAAAACTGTTTTAAGTGATCATACTGCTGCTTTGTCGCCTCCACGGTAACCTCCATGCTGCTGTGGCTTCCACGCTGCATTTTGTTTTGTTGACGCACGCGGCTGTAGGCTACGACACTGGTAGCTGGTGTTGCCAGATTGGGTGTTTTTCCCGCTACATATT